AAAAAAAAAAAAAAAAAAAAGGATGCAAATAGTTAGGGAAAAGGGAATACCCATAGGCTGAGGTTTCAAATTTGGAGGCAAAGTATTTATTTATTTATTTATTTATTATTGGTACATAAAATTTTACATATTCATGAGGTAACATGATATTTTACTAGCATAGAATACAGAATGATCAAGTCAGGGTATTTGAGGCATCCATCACCTTGAGTATTTGTCATTTCTATGTATTGGGAACAATTCAAGCCCTTTCTTCTTGATACTTTGAAATATACAACACATTGTCGTTAACTATAGTCACTCTATTCTGCTGTCAAATGATATAACTTATTCCTTCTATCTAACTGGATGTTTGTACCCATTAACCAACCTCTCTTTATCTCCCCCTCTACCCACACCCTTTTCCAGCCACTAGTATCCATCATTCTAGTCTATGTTTATGAGATCAATTTTTTTTTAGCTACCACAAGAGTAAGAACATGCGATTTTTGTCTTTCTGTGCCGGGGTTGTTTCACTTAACATAATGACCTCCAGTCCCATCCATGTTGCTGTGAATGACGTAGTTTCATTCTTGCAGTGTTTCATTGTGTATAGATACCACATATTCTTTATCCATTCATCTGTTGATATACACTTAGGTTGATTTCACATCTTTGCTGTTGTAAACAGTGCTGCGATAAGCATACAAGTGCAGGTACCCTTTTGATACACTGATTTCTTAGCTTTGGGATAGATAACCAGTAGTGGGATTGCCAGATGGTAAGGTAGTTCTATTTATAGTTTCTTGAGAAATCTTCATACTGTTACTAATTTACTGTTACATTTTCACCAACACCTTAAAAGAGTTCCCTTTCTTCACATTCTCACCAGAATCTGTTATTTTTTTGTCTTTTGAATAATAGCCATTCTAATTGGGGTAAGATGATATATCATGTGGTCTTGATTTGCATTTCCCTGGTGATTAGTGATGTTGAGCATTTTTTCATATACCTGTTGGCCATTTGTATGCCTTCTTTTGAGAATTGTCATTTATTTCATAAGGCAGGGAGTATTTAATGAATTATTTAGAGATAAAGAATTACAGAATCACAGTAACACATATTGAATGATCATATTATAATTACATGATATCATAATTATTAGCTTTATGAACTGAACTGATAGGCAGAAATTAAAAACTCAAAGGTATGTGTTTGCTTCAGCAGCCCATATACTAACATTGGAATGATACAGAGAATATTAGCATGGCTCCTGAGCAAAGTGTTCCATACTTTTCAAAAAGACTCAAAATTATTAATGAAGTTAACATTTGAGAATATATTGCAGGAAACAATTATGCATTAGCTGAAGACTGGGCAAAATGATCCAGTTGGGCTTCTTCTTCCTACCCTTCTAAATTTATCAACCAAGTTATATTTCAGGATGATTTATGCTTCTACTACATCTGACAGAGATTATTATAATTCAACTCTTAATTCTTTTGTTTTTTCAACTGTTAATTCTTATTAATCAAGATGCAATAAAGTTAAGTGATAAAAGCTGAAAATGACTTACTGGAAAGAAAGTGCTGAGACGCTGGGCCAAAGTCCCTGTGAGCTTCATGCAGCTGCCTGACTCGGTCCTCCACGGCCACCTGGGAGGAAAAGGAGAGAAATGATGTTCTCTCATTCTATATAATGAGGAACAATTAAAATAATGTATCCTTTCTGATAAGATACTTTGAGTCTCCAAGGCTGACAACACCAAAGCAACAATTCATAGCCCTAGTTTTAATATCCACTTACCGTATATAGTATCTCAGACTCGTTTTTATCAATCCAAGGCCAAACACAAAGGATTTCCTCTCTCAACAATGTTAAAATAAGATTTTTTTTTTTTTTTTTTTTTTTTTAAACAGTCAACTCATTGGCAGCCACAAATGAACTACTGCTTCAATTAGTACCATAAAAAAAATACAAATCTTTACTTTCACAGAAACATTAGGGAGGGTGCCATTTGGTATAGGTGACTACAGAATCTCAGAAATGACATGTCTTGTCTTTAAGTCTTAGTCTATTGTTTTTGACAAATTTTTAAAGAAGTAATATTGATGAATAGGTAATAAACCATTGAGTGATATTTAATTATTGATAATTAGCAATTAATCAATAGTTGATTAATATTTAATTATGGACTGGGCACAGTGACTCATGCCTGTAATCCCAGCACTTTGGGAGGCCAAGGCAGGCAGATCACTTGAGGTCAGAAGTTCGAGACCAGCCTGGCCAATATGGTGAAACCCTGTCTCTACTACAAATACAAAAATTAGTCGGGTGTGGTGGTGCACGCCTGTAGTTCCAGCTCCTCAGGAGGCTGAGGCAGGAGGGAGGCCACAGTGAGCAGAGATCGTGCCACTGCACTCCAGCCTGGGCGACAGAGTGAAACTCCATCTCAAAAAAAAAAAAAAAAAAAAAATTAATTAAATATCAAAGAAGTACAGGCAAGGCTTAAATTTGGGATAAAACAGGGTGGATAGGAAGATAAAACTAATTTTCAGATTTCAGTTTTCAGTGGTCTTGGAAATTATTGAGAAATATAACTTTAGGTGGCATGCAGTGAAAACCACCATTCTTTTTTTCCTATTAGGTTTTTCTATAATATATTGACACAGTGTGCTGTCAACTTAGTGAATTCTATTCTTAGGGGGGAAAAAGGAATAATTTTATGGGTGAAATACTATACTTAGTCATTTGGCATTTTGCCAATCCAATATAAGAGGTAGCTCCAGGCATCCTAGCTCTCTAACTCTGGATTTTGATTTGGTTGTGAACAGTCCATGCTAAACTAGGGGTCAATCAGAGCTTGCACAGAGCAATCGGAACTCAGGGGATAGTTCCTGTGGTGTGCAGAATTCCCAAGAGGTAAAAATCGATGTTAATCTCATCAGAAAAGTGGCTCAGGTAGTCTGGTCTCAAACCAACTCTGGCCTTCCAATATCAATTAAGTGCCTAGTGTATATCCAGAACAATCTCATTTTTTCACTCTCCCTAGCCTTGCCCATTTTTGCTTGGCCCAAATACGTGGATAACCAAGTGGAGTTCCCCTAAAATGCAGGATTTGCTTTATTTTATCTACACAAAAGCATGAGGGACATATGAAACCTTCCTTCCCAACCTTATGACCCTGCGCTCCCAAACTCTACCTGCTAAGCCCACCAAAACTACCTGCCTATCCTGCACTATTCCATCCAATGTAACTCTTGTGTGTGGCTTCTTCATGCTGCTCCTTCTCTCGGCAATGCTCTTACCCGACTTCTCTCCCAGATCAATGCTGTGAGTGTTTATATGCTTACTTCCCCATCTCCCGGGTTAGAATTAATGGTTTCCTCAGCATTCTAACAGTATATGGTTTATACTTGAAGCACTTCTATCATACAATTCATTTGAATTATATGGACATGTCTCTTGCAATAGATTGTAAACTTCTTGACAGCAGGGACCATTTTTTGTTTACCTTTGTCTTTGAATGTCTCCAACCCTTTCTGCAGGAGGCACAGAACCCTGCACATAGAAAATGGTAGCAAATATTTGTTTAATGACTAGTTGACCAAACAAATGGATAAATGAGTAAATGTGGTACGTGTGTGTGTGTGTGTGTGTGTGTGTGTGTATGTGAGACAGAGAGAGAGAGAGAGAGAGAAGAGAAGAGATGCGGAACAAACAAGAATACCTACTCACACTGACTGCACTGACTGCAGGTCTGTAATGGTTAATTCTGTGTCAAGTTGACTGGACTATGGGGTGCCCAGGCAAACCACTATTTCTGGGTGTGTCTGGGTGTGTCTTGTGCAGACAAGATTAGCATTTAGTTCAGCGGATTCAGTAGATTGCCCTCCGCAATGTGGGTGGGCATCATCCTATCAGTTGAGGTCCTAAACAGAACAAAAAGGCATGTTCCTTTTTTCCCTGCAGGCCTGCTTGAGCTGGGATGTCAGTCTTCCCCTGCCCTTGGACTGGGATTTACATCATCAACTCCTCTGGTTCTCAGGCTTTCAGATTGAGACTGAAATTACACTATCAATTTTCCTGGCTCTCTAACTTGCAGACAGCAGGTCATGGGACTTCTTAGTTTCCAACTGCATGAGATAATACTTGATTTTATATATCCACACACACATATACATACATATATACACACACACACACACATACGTACATACATATGTATATTGTTGCTTCTATTTCTCTGGAGAACCTTGACTAATCAATGTCCCTGGGTAAATTATTCTTAACTTTCCTTATCAGTAAAATGTGGACAGTAATATAACTTATAGAGTTCTGTGGGAATTAAATAAGATGATACATGTAAAGCACTTAGCCTAGTTTCTATCATGTAGTAATTGCTCAATAAATGTCACCAGCTACTGTTCTTGCTGCTATTATGGTAAACAAAAGGAGAGGAATAGGCCAGGCGTGGTGACTCACACCTGTAATCCCAGCACTTTGGGAGGCCGAGGCAGGTGGATCACTTGAGGTCAGGAGTTCACAACCAGTCTGGCCAACATGATGAAATCCCGTCTCTACTAAAAATACAAAAATTAGCTGGGTGTGGTGGTGAGCATCTGTAATCCCAGCCACTCAGGAAGCTGAGGCAGGAGAATTGCTTGACACTGAGAGGTGGAGGTTGCAGTGCACTGAGATCATGTCACTGCACTCCAGCTTGCGCGACAGAACAAGACTCCATCTCAAAAAAAAAAAAAAAAAAAAAAGGAAAACAGGAGAGCAATAGTCTATAATGTGCAGGGTACCACATACAATACAAAAATGGCTAATATTTATTAAGCAATACATGCATGACAATATGAATTATGTTATTTCATCTTTACAGTAACTCTGCAATAGGAGTTAATATTATTTCCCCCACTTCATTGATGTGAAAACTGAGGCATGAGAGGTTAAAAAAAAAAAAACAACTTGCCTAAGCTTCAGTAATTAGTAAATTGGCAGAGCTCAGATTCAAACTCATTCAGTCTGGGTCTTGCTCTTAACTGTTCTCCTGAAGATTAAAGTTGAATAAAAGTATTTTATAAATACTTAATAAGTAATTTGCTTTTTAATTTCTTTATTTTCAATCAGTTTATTGAATGCAGACCAATTCTAGTGTGCATATCTATGAAACTTCAGTTGTTCAATGTATTTTATGGCCCAATGTATTTTATGGCCCAATGCAAGGTCAATTCCTGGTCTTGAAGAATGTGATATCATAAGATCACAGAGAAAGGTTGTGGAAAAATGCATGCAAATAAATGTTTGGCATATGTCATTATTTCTAAATTTAGAATGGGTCATTCCATAAATAAATCAATCTAGAGATAAATGTGAGTGTTTTGGGGTAGGGAGGAGAAGATGAGGATGCCATATGGGAGTGGACACTGATCAGAAATCTTTTCACCTACTGAGAAAGAAATCTCAAGGAGAAGATGTAGATAGTAAAGGAATATGACCGTGCCATAGGCCACTTTCTCTAGTAAGAATGTTAGTTTCATAGGGACTGAGCCGATGCAGCATCAAAGTTCATTCTAGACTCCCAATCTCTGAAGAATTTTGCCTTCTTATACAAGGAGAGCTCTAGTGGTAGTTTCCAGTGTACACTCAATATTGTCAAGATTTTAAAATGAGATCAAAGTGAATTTCCATCTTCATAACTCAAATTTAAGAGAAGGCATGACAGTGAGAAGAATTAAGCATAAAATATTTCTTTCCACAAATTACAATTGGAGAAAAGTTTTGTGTGGATTGAATGCACAACTGGCTAAATAAAGAAATAAATTTATGAAGGAGAAAATCTTGAAAGCAACCAAGGTCCTCGAAAGCTTTAGCTTGAGACTTAGGAACGAAGCACTTTATTCTGTGAGCAATTATGCAAGGAAATGAAATTTGATAATCTATTAAAATGAGAGCCTCCATGCATTAGATCTTTCTAACTGGCTGTATTTTAAATCAATATAACCATAGTATATACAAAACAGGAAGCAAAAGCCAGAAATTATATACCTGTATCTTATGTTATGGCACAATCAGTTCTTTCCTTGGTGGTTTATTCATTATATAAGTATTTGTTAATATTGAAAGAGATAGTCAAAAAACAAATGCTATAGTCCCTGATCTCTGCAAGTGTAAAGGTTTGGAGGTAAGAAATAGTGACAAGCTGAAGAAAGGCTTGGGGCTGCAGAACAGTGGTGTTGAGGACGACAGTGAGATATAATTAGTTAGTCATGTTGAAAGCAGATGATGCAAAGCAAGGTGTTCCGGACTCTGAGGCTCAAGATTTACCCTGCAGGCAAAGAGAACCACTGAAAATTTCTGTGACATGACTCACTATTTTAGAGGAAAGTTAGGGTTTGGGAAGATCGGTATGGTGTAAAACAGATTCGAAAGGGCACCTGAGACTGAGATCAGAAAGAGGCTGCTGTAATTTACTAGACTTGGGGTGATATGCATTAGAATTAAGGCTGTATTGTATTGAATGTAAAAGAAGGTACATGTTAGAAGGATTTTGAAAGCAGGAAGAACTATCCAATTTGGTGCTGGAGATTAATTTCTGAAGAAGCAAATAAACTCTTGGATTTCCAGTAAGAAAGACTGGGAGAATGAA